TTTTTTTTTTTTTTTTTTTTTAATAATATTATATATAATGTTTAATCTTCATTTAAACTTGCATAAAGCCCAATGTCCAATTTCTTGTAATTAAAAAAATTCATGGCTCACTGTGTCATAGTTTTTCATACGGCAAGTTGGTATTAACGTCTGAAAAATAGCAAATAAAGTGCCATCAAACAAAGCTGAATTTAAAACAAAATTTTAGCGCAAATCAAATAGAAGCTGTAACTAGTGTTTTTTATTATTTTTATTATTTTATTATTTTATTTTATTAGCAAAATGGCATAGCATACTTTATTCCCACATTACTTTTTGTTCCAATCATCAATGTTAGTTAAATATTTTATTTACATACAATTATCGTACGAATAGGTTTTTGAATGATTTCACATTATTTTTTTTTTTTAATTGTATAGAAAAAAAAAGCTGCAATTAAATTAATGTATGATGACTGCATTATTTAAACAATACAATATTAATAATAATTTATTTCATTGGGCATACGTCTTTAATTAATTCTAACATTCACATATATATATATATATATATTTTGATTATTATTATTATTTCTTTTTTATATACATGTAGTATGTATATGCATATAAAATTATGTAAAAAATGAAAAAAACATAGATAAATTATGGAACATGATTTCAGATTAATCACTACATCATGCTATAAATAATCAAGGCAATTCACATTGATAATGTTGCTTAATTCATTTGGAAATAATCTTTTCAAATAACACATAGTGCAATCATCTTTAATAAGAAAATCTAACATACCAGAGCTGTACTGCGTATACTGTTGATACTGTGGATGAAAGTTGTGGATGGCATCAGTCATTATATCTTTTGGATTCATTGTTTCCTAAAGAATTTATTAAATATAATTATTATGGTAATAATCATTTTTTAAATATATATATATATATATAAAGATAGTAATGTTACATACTTTCAAACTGCTACTAATACTTTGCATTGTCACACTTCTTCCTCTAGAATCAGTTACACAACCAGCTGAATATACTTGATATGGAAATGCATAGCGTAATGCAATCGCAGCAAACAACATTTCAATGCAAATTAGAAAATTCTGATAACCAGCAGAAACTGTACCAGCGCTCGTTGACTGTCCTAAGCTGTTTATTACTGGTGAAATAACATTTGCTTTTTCAAGAATGGCCAATAACACTCCTAAAAATATGAGATAACAAATAATAATTAAAATAATCAACAACAATAACCACAAGAAGAAGAAGAAGAAGAAGAAGAAAAATAAAGAAATTACCTTGCCAGAATGACAGAAAAATGACACTTTTTACAGTACAAAATTTTAAAACCGGTTCAAACGGTGTTAGCAGTTCTCTCGTGGCAAAATAAAAGAGGAAAAGTCCGTAAAGAGCAAGTGATACACTAAAATTATAAATCACTGTTATATAAATATAGCCACCATCTGGTGACCAATCCCCATCTCTATAATGGCCAAATGCTTGAAGAAATATAATGACAAAAGCCATAACAGGCTTGACCAAGCAAAATTGTAAAGTTGCTTGTTTACAAAATCTCAAGAAACCAATGGTATAAGTCTTTCCAACTAGGCAGCATGTTCCATATAAACAATTGGAACGTATTGGTTTACCCCTTATTTCGGACATAATGTTCCCTTCACCACCCAGGTACTCGTAGCATAAGGACAGAAAGTTATATATAACAAATGCTTCATAACAGTCTCGTACGGTAAAGAAATAAACATAGTAGCTTTCGCTATTGAAGAATAATAGAGACACCCAAGAATACGTTGCATAGATTGGTACGATGAAGAGTATTCTGACTATCCATCGTTGTTCCGTGGGATTGGTATACCATCTTAAATGTTGATAAATCTAAAAAAAAATAAGAACAACAAATAAATATTGATTGATATGAAAAGATGATGATGATGATCTTTTTGTATAAATCAATTTATCTTTTTAACATATAAAATATGTTAATACCTGTTGGCAAGTTAAAAAAAGTGCTAGCCAGACGAAAACACCGGCTATTCCTTGAGCAGCTCGAGTCTGCAAGAAAATAGGTGTCGCTTCCCTGGTTGCTTCTAAGGTATTATCGACAATGTTATTAGAGACATTGGTCATCATATTGTCAATCACCGAGACCGCGATCGTTGATGCCTCCGTTCCAAACGTACTACTACTCATAGTATGATCTGGGGACGATCGATTTTATTTTATACATGTATGTCACATTTCATGTTGCACATATTGTTTTTCAACAGTTTATAAATGATCAATCGAATCGTTTAAACGATTTACTTAGCGTATTATATTGGCTACGTAATAGAGAAAGAAAGAAAGAAAGAAAAAAAAAAGAAGAGAAAGGAAAGTAATGAGAATATGCCTTGTTGTATATTCGCATAAGCGAGAAAGTTAAAAAAGATATTCTTTTTTTCTTCGTGTGTGACGGAGAGTCGAGCGTTAAAAATCAATATTTAGAACAATACTAGAATAACGATACTTCGTTTCAGCGCGCATTTTTATTTCAAGAACACACCCGTGCTCCATTTGTATATATATATGCATAGATCGTCCTTCCAAGATCGTAAAATACTATGCAAGCAAGCACGCATGCACGCACGCACGCACGCACGCACAAACCCGGATCTGAATTACTCTGTCCGTTTTTCGTTCGCACTTGCTTCTTTCCCTCTCCCTCTCTCTCTCTCTCTCTCACTCACTCTGTCATATACTCTTTCCCTCTCTCTCTCTCTCTCTCTCTCTCTCTATACCCCCCTTTTAAAAAGCGACCGATGCGTGCTGACCCGTCTCAGCGAGATCAAGTTTCTCAAGATTCCCCACTACGAATTATCTTTCTCGGATCACCACATACACGAACGCGACGCGATCACTCCTATAATATTGCCTTCGGTGACCTTCCAAGAAACACGCTCGGCCCGTCTCCTTCTTTCTTTCTCTTTCTCTTCCTCTCTATCCCTCTCTCTTTCTTTCTTTCTTTCTCTTATGTACACGACAAATAATATGCGAAAATATTTTCTTTTTTTTTTTCTTTACTATTTTCGATTCTCCTTATTATCTTTTCTAAAAGATTTTTACCTTTCGACGATAATATCACCGAGTTTCATAGCAACGCGACATATTCAACACCTGTCTTCTTTTCCCTTCGCTTCTCACTTATTCGCGCTCATTTAGTTTAACGCTTACGGTTTACACCAGGGAATTACTTTTATCGATATATATGACAGCAATAAAAATACTACTGAATACAATTCTCTTCTCGCGGACGAGATTAACGCGCATGTATTCTTTCGTTCTTTGCCTTTCTCTCTCTATGTTTTTATAGTGATCATCTATCTGTTTCTCTTTCGCGCGATGTCTAAATCTCGTTTATTCTCTCCCTTCCATTATCTCTCTCTCTCTCTCTTACTTGTCAACGTATGCGCATGATCTTGCGCATGCGCATACGAGCCTTTTTCTGACCGCTTTTAACAGCGCATTACGCATGCGCGTTATATGACGTATCGTTTTATTTGTCTTAATTCGATGAATCGTTCATGATTAGAAAAATTATTTACATTATTATCGTTCAATTATCTTTTTTCAATAGAAAAGTATTTCGTCATATTATGATATTAGAAAAGAAAAAAAAAATAGAAAAGAAACTTGGTGAAAAAGAGGTTATCATAGATTAAGAAGAATTTGAAATTGAGTTGATATAAAGAGACAGACCGTTATTAAGGTACAACGGTAACGTGCGTAAATAATGTGAAAGGATAATACATTTAATATAAATCATATATTTTACTACGTGTGCCACCTTGTGTGTGGGGGATATGATTTATACACGAATCAAGGCTACTTGTCATGATGATATCAGCCAACGTGTTTTTCGTCTCGTCAGGTGTTCATTAGATCATTTGATCATCTTGAACATTTAATTAATGGCTATGATGAAAATATCGATATAAATTTATATATCGTAACGAGAGATTTTAGCTTATTTCAATTAAATAGAAATCTTTAAGGATGGCACTCGTTTACATAGAAGACAATGACCCTTGGTATATATGTTTATTAATTATATTGCTTCATTATTCCTATTTTTCTTTATTTTCTGTTTCTTAATATGTAGATCTATCTTTTATAGCTTGTAATTTATGCATTTTGAAATAAAGTTAACTTTATTTTATATATTAGGCTCGCAGAGTATGAAGCTTGCGAAAAGTTGTTCCGTGAAATTATGGAACAACTTAATACACGTGAAAGAGAATCAGAAACATCTCAAGCATATGCAAGTTTGTCAGCAAATATACGTCTACGTATGAAACAATATAATAGAGAGATTTATCAACTTAAAACTAAACTCGAAGAAGCTTCTAAATCCAGAACTATGTATCCTTTTTTTAATTTGTCATAATATATTTTGGCTTCACTTTATTGAAAAGACTAATTTCCGTTTGATCATTCAAGTTAAATGACAATGAGCAGGGATATGGGAAGGTGCATCAAGGTTTCTCAAATCTGTAAAAGGAAGAGTATAATAAAAATAATTCACAATTATATTCCTTAATGAAAATATATATAGAACTATAGAAGAGGCAGAACGTAGAACAAGACAGATCGAACAATTACAAAGTAAAGATATCCAATTACAAAAGTACTATGAATCCAGAACCAAATCTCTGTTGTCAAATCGAAAGAGTTTATTAAAATCTGGAACAACTGCATTTGCTGATATGGGAACAACATCGTGGGCTATAGATGATGACGATGATAAACCCATAGATGTAAATATGTCAACTCAAGATCTTCAAAATTACCAAGAACAAGTCTTGCAAGGTATTGACTTATTTAATTAATTAATTAATTAATTAATTGATTTTATTATAATACTTAATTTTCAATAAATCTGCAAATGATATAATATTAATTATATTTTTTGTTATCAGAACAAGACAAAGGATTAGAAGAATTATGCAAAGTGATAGCACGTCAAAAAGAAATAGGACAAACCATTAGCAACGAAGTGGTTCACCAAAATGGTATTGAAAATAAACAAACAATTACGTTCAATAATTTAATAATATCATTCATATCTATTAATCTATTTTTTGTTTTATTTATATAGAAATAATTGATGACTTGGCTGATCATATGGATATGACTGATCAAACATTAGTTACCAGAACACGTCAGGTAGAAAGCATTAGTTACAAAGATCGTACTTGTGGTTACTGGATAATTATTATCTTACTTTTTATTAGTATTGTAATAGTAGCTTTATTGGAAGTTTAATAGAAATTATACTTCTCTTCAAGAGCTAATGTAAATACATGTATAATGCGTGCGTATATATATACACCAAAAAATTTAATACTTCTTGCTTTATGCTATTATTGCACGTGGGATACTTTAAATTTACTAATGCAAATGTAGAACATTCTACTTTTAGCATTTAATATGTTTTATGTGTTCTATTATATATATTGTTATATTCTAATTAAATGTATATTGCTTTCTCATTGAATTAGAAACTAATATTTGTAATCTTACAAATCATTTATATTTTAATATGTCATTGGTGAACTACAATTTATTATTATTCTTTCTATTAAATTTATGTATATATATATATATATATATATATATATTTTTTTTTTTTAAGTTGTATTTGTTCTTGTGTATTATAAGATATGCCATAAATTATGTTACCTTAATTTTTATTTTTTTGGAGGAATTATGTATAATGATATTTATTTACAATATAATTGGTATGTGGAAAATCTTAAAATTTATTCATGAAAATGTTATGTCAACTTTTTATAACATTTTATTACTCAGTTTTATATAATTTTAGATTTTTCAAAAGTGCTCTAGGATTTGGATCTCTTCCTCTAAATCTTCTAAAAATTTCACTGATTGAACAAGTACTGTTCAAAGATAAAAATGTATCCTGAAATCTTTTACAAACTTCTTCGTAATTAATTTTATCTTCAATTGGTATTTCTTGAAATGCTCTATATATATCTGCTGCAATCATTTGTGACCAAAGACGACTGTAGAAAAGAAAATATTTACATATAATAATAATAATAATAATATCATATATACAAATTTTGAATGGAACATGAAAATAAAAGATTATCAACTTACGAATAATAACTTGTACTTAAACACGTAGAAAACATGGGTCTAAAAGAATAAATATATGGATCATTTATTTCCATTGGTATTATGAAGTGTTCTTTCCATAGACGTTCCATTATTTCTCTCCACGAATCAGTACTAAAGATTTTATAAAAATTTAATTATTTGATATTTTTATTTTTATTAAATATATAATATAAATTTTACCTTGAATATACTTCCAAGTCAAATCGTGCAAAAAAAAGTTCTGTACATAAATTATATCCTGCTAATTGTAATCTCGAATTTTGGATAACTTCAATTGCTTCTACTGGTAAAGTATCTTTTGTTTCATGATGTTCAGAAATCATTTGTAAAGTTGATGGTTCATATAACCTATTGTAAAATAATTGAAAATATTACAAAAAAATGCTCATTCGTATATATAGACATAATATACTCCAAACGTACCAATTTTCAAGAAAGAAATCATAAATGTAAGCTATATCCCATTCTACATAAGATAATCCAGAAATATCTGCATAATCGGTTGTAGATGTCATATGATGTAATGCATGACCAAACTAAATGTTAAAAATTATGTGTATAAGATGAACAATTGTTTACTTGTTTTACTATTTTTCTATTATAATAAAACATCATTTATTTTACCTTTTGAAATAATACTCGCACATTTTCAAGTGAAAGTAACGAAGGTTTTCCATCCTTTGGACGTTGGAAATTAAATATTAAAGAACACATTGGTTTTGTGTCCAAACATTTACTTCTACTTTTTATAACAATAACATATCCAAGATTTTGATTAGTAGATTTTTCATCACCCCTTACATAGGGATCTAAATAAAAACTTGCTATTGGTTCTGTACTTGATATATTTGTATTAAATATATCATAGAAGGAAACGTCTTTGTGCCAAATATCTACATTTTTATTTTCCACAACTTCTAAAGCAAAATTTACTTTAAGCAAATCAAATAATCCATTTAATACCTTTGGCAGTGGAAAGTAATCCTTCAATGATTCTTTTTTAAATCTGTAAGATTTATAATAATTTTATCATTTATTATTTATCATAATTTATAAATTTGTATATATATATATATATCAAATATTTTGTCATATTTACTCGTAAAGACTATCTTGAAATTGTTTATTCCAATATAAGATATCCCATGGCTTGAGAGAATCGGTCAAACCTTTTTCCTTTGCAAATTTATTCAATGTTTCTAACTCAAGTATCTGAGCATTACGAGCTGATAAAATATATTATTAGTTTATTATAATTTAATAAAAATATTATAGCAGAAAAAAAAAGAGAACTATCATCTTACCACTGTCTAATAAAATGTCAAATGTATTATATACTTCATCCAAATTATTATTCATTTTTGTTATCATATTCATATGACTATAGGATTTATATTTGAACAAAGCTGCTTGTTGTTTACGCATAGAATAAATTTCTTTTAATATGTGTCCTGTATGAAATATTTTATCATCCAAAGGTGATAATAACGTAGCATTTATTCGCCACAATTTCCAACGTAACGTTCGACTAGAACAACATTCTAAACAAATGAGATTTTTCAATGAAACGTGTTGATTACAATTGATAGTGATCAAAGACAAAATTCATAGAATTTATTTACCTAAGAATAATTTAAGAATGTGTGGCTCGGCAGTAATAGTCCATGGACCTACGTGAGGTTCTGCAGGATTTGCTGCAGTAGCTTCTAATAATTCATTGGAAAAATCTTTCACGTCATTTTCATCTTTCATAACATGAACATATTTTTTCGTTGCACCCTAAAACAAAATATAATTACACGATCATTATAATATCACTTTTGAATTTTTCTTTAATACAAACAAATATTAACCTCATATCTTTTAGTAAATTCCATTTCTTGTTGATACAATATATTATAACAATTTTTCAACCATTCACGTTTCTTTTCAGAAAATTCTAATCCATTCAATTTTCCTTCAATTATATATTTATCTAATATTCTTTCTTGTTGACTCGTTAATTGAATATTTTCATTATCTTTAATACGTTTACAAGCTTCATAAATTGGTAAACTACTAAATTTATTCTCCATAGCTTTCATGGTACGTAGATTGATATTGGTGAAAGATTTAGTTGGTATCAAGGTTTGATTTCCATAATACAATGTTTGTGCTATACCAAATGTTATTCCTAATGGAACGTAGGTTTCTTCTAAAGGTAATAAAATGTCGTTGAATACGTTCACATCTTTGTTATCTGTAAAAAGTTGAATATTTTACAACGCATTAATATTAAATAAAATAAAATAAGAAATATATATAAATCATTTTCATACTAACCTTGTATTTCTTTTTCTATTTTTTGAATTTTATTGTCACATTCAACAACTTGTTTTTGAATTGCTGCTATACATTTTTCAATAGTAATATTATTGAATTCTGGCGTTTTATTTTCTTTCAATAAATTTTGTTGTACACATTCTTCTCCTATTTCTGGAAGACTATAATCGAATGATCACAGAAGAGTTAAATCTTTTTTTTTTTTTTTCTTAAATATAACCTTGTAAATAAAAATTTGAATAATTTTATACATTTTTTACGTATAATTTTCAAATAAATAAACACATGAAAATGAATATTATTATATTTAACCTCACATATAAATAATTATCAATTTAATTTCACTTACAGTACTATATATCCATTACGTTTTGGTATTTTAAGAATATTACTTTTTGATAATATAAATCTCTTGACACAAAATGACAAAACCATTTTGTTGTTATTTATTAATAAATCTTAATAATAATACATCATTATTTAAATACATGTAACGTCATTAATAAATGGTTATAGCTCGTGGCTTTTACGACAAAAAAAAAAAAACATTATTTGTTCCCACATGCAACGTGCTCGGTTGATAACAGTAGTTGAATGATACGGACCAATCAAATTTCTAGATTGTTTTATCGTTAGACCAATCAAATTTCTAGATCGTTTTATCGTTAGACCAATCAAAATAATTAATTTTGATATTAAAGTATAGTCAGAAAAAAAAGCAAAAATATAAATCTCGATTAGTTTTGATAGAATTTGTTGATGATACGAAAGTACGATTAAGTGACAAATAAATAAAGAAATAACCAAAAATTGACAATAACAATTTTAAATCGAATTTTTTCATTAGTGAATTAATTATACGTGAATCAAATTATCAGAAGTTTGTTAAATAATTTGTGAAATACATTTTATATTCATTTCTTTTTTTCATATTCCATTGTGCTAGAAGATATTATTTGTGTTAAAATCATATTTCAATAATATAATTATTAATAATCTAAAACTTTGTGCTCCATTATTTAATTTATTAATCTTTTATCGTGCTACGAATGTAATTTCATAAATTTCAAATATTTTTTGTATTGACAATTTTTATCTACTACGCAATTGTTATATATTGTATCATGAATATGTGATCAAAGAATTTTATCAATACTCATGGAATTTTCAGTTCTCATTGTATCTTGTTACTTAGAGGTTTTACCGTTCCCCTTTGCAATGAATCACTGTGAAGGTTAAAGTGTTTATAAAGTAACATTAATATTAAAGTTTGTGTTTAAAAATTCATTCAGTTAAGAAAAAAATTACTATATAAAATACAATATGTCTTCCGAATTAAGAAATTGGCCAATTTTTACTTTATTAGAACCTAAGTTTACTGCAAATATTCGTATGGTCGTGGTATATGGTAATTAGAGATTTATTTATTTGACAGATTTGTCTCAGCTTTTTGACAACATTCTTATTATTATTATTATTATTTTTTTTTTTTTTTAAATATATATATTTTTTTTCTATTAATTTAGATATTAAAACAAAAACAAACCAATAGATAGACAAATAAATAAATAAAATTTCTTTTATAGGTAATTTAGGAAATGAAGCTTTAATTGTAACAAAAGATAATCAAGTGTTTAGTTTGGGATGTAACATTACTGGTTGTCTTGGAACAGGCGATACATATAATACCCTTCATCCTAAAAAAGTAGAAGCCCTTTGTAACAAACATATTAAAACTTTTGCTTATGGCAGTGGTCCACATGTATTGGCACTTACAATGAAAGGAGAGGTACTTATAAACTTTAACCCTTAAAGTGCACATGGGATGTTTGTTTGACAACCCAACAAATTTGTGATCTCTCGAAAACACGGTACTGAATTCGAAAAAAAAATGGGTTATTTGTCTAGTGCCATCTAGTGTTCATTCAGATGGATATATAAAATCTATTCTATTTTAAAAAAAAGATATATCAAAGTACTTTTAAAAACAATTGCTAGGTCTAAATCTTAAATAATGACTTCAGGAGACGCGTTCAAACACATTGGGGTGTCAAACACCCCATATGCACTTTAAGGGTTAATTCTACTAAATGATATCAATTGTTATGGTCGATTCAATAATAAGTGAATCATTTATTTTCAATATTTTCAAGGTATATGCTTGGGGACATAATGGTTTCTGTGAATTGGGTAATGGATCAACAATTCATGGATTGACTCCGACTCGTGTAGGAATGCCATTGACTGAAAAAAATGTGATAGATATTGCGTGTGGAAGTCATCATTCTCTTGCTCTAACGGATGAAGGAGAGGTAACAGAGAAACAAAATTATATCTCGTAATCGAATAATCATCTTAAAAAAAAAAAGAGGAAGTATGCATAATGATACATATATATATATATATATATTACATAAAATCTAAGTTAAAAAATGTATTATGACAAAGAATCAAAATTGATCGTTCACATGTGTGTTTATGTTTAGATATATGCGTGGGGACAAAACAACTGTGGACAAGTAGGTAGTGGTCTTAGTTCTAATCAAGGTGCACCACGTAGAATTAATTCTGCATTAACCGGTAAAAAAGTTGTCTCCATTACATGCGGCCAGACGTATAGTATGGCAGTTACTAATAGTGGTGAAATTTATGGATGGGGTCACAACGGTGTTGGACAATTGGGAAATGGAAGTTATGCTAATCAATTGAATCCGTGTAAAGTTGCTGGTTTAGTTGGAGTAATTATAGGTAAATATTATTATATCTCAGACATTTTCATTAATAATATACATATATATATATCTTTTTTAATACAGAAGTTTGTCATAATGATTTTAGAAAAAGTCGTCTGCGGTTATGCACATACGTTAGCGTTAAGTGACGAAGGTGTTCTTTACGTTTGGGGAAGTAATAGTTATGGTCAATTAGGTCTTGGTAATAAAACAAATACATGTGTTCCCATGAAGGTAAAATAATCATTGATTTATTTGAAAAATATATGTCAATATTATTTAAGAAGATTATTATTGTTTGTATAACTAATTGTTTTTATTGAATAGTTATTTATCAAACAAATGGGAAGAGTATCTGATGTAGCAGCATTGCATTATGATCATATAAGTGTTGCAATTGGAGAAGGAAATAAAGTTTTTATGTGGGGTCAATGTCTTGGACAGAGCATTACAATACCAACACCTACTCCATTAACAAATTTGCATGATGTTTTGGCTTGTTATGCATCACCAAGAGTAATGCATCGTCCATTGTATCTTTATGCAGCAGAAGAATCGAGTATCGTGGATTGTCTGAGAGATGCATTTAATGATTCTGTATGTTCCTTTTTTATGCACTGTTTTTTTTTTTATATTAACATTAGGGGTGCCCCGCCACGCGTTGCTACTGTGGCTCACAATCAGTCCAATACACATGTCTTTAAGTCAGCCATCTGTTAGAATCTTATCGAACTAACAGAGATAATCATGACTCTAATTAATTAATAAACAAATAATTTCGATTATAAATTGAGATATAAACTATTCTATCTTTCAAGTTGGATGAAACTACACACAGTGTGCTAAATTTTATTCAAATCGGTTCAGTTGTTTAGGAGTCCATTGCGGACAAACAACGTCACACGTAATTTATATGTATTAAGATAAGATAAGATATATACATATTATTGGATTTCTAATTGATTAATATTTGATTAATTCTATTGTAGACAACAAGTGACTTGACGATACAGGTAGATGGTAAACCTATTCATGTTCATAAGGCTGTATTAAAAATACGATGTCAATATTTTAGAACCATGTTTCAAGGAGCTTGGGCAGAAAATAGTCAAACGTAAGTTTTAATAACGAGCTATGTGAATTTGTTGTTATTGTTATGAATTCTTATTGAATTAATTTATAAATCATGTATTACTTTTACAGTGTTATTGAACATGATCAGTTTTCTCATGACGTTTATAAATCATTTTTGAAATATTTGTATACAGATGAAGTTGATCTTCCTCCTGAAAGTGCATTAGGTAATAATTCACACGATCATTTCAAATATTCTAATGTATTATTATCATTATTAATTTTGCGTATTATATAATTGATATTTGATTTTTCCTTTTCTTTTTTTTTTTTTCTAGAATTGTTAGATTTAGCAAATGTATATTGTGAAGCACAATTGAAAAAACGATGCGTTCAAATAATTAAAAAAGGAATTACCGTTTTAAATGTGGCTTTTTTATACAGTACAGCGATCGAGTACAATGCTCAAGTAAGTTCAATAGAAGATTAATTTTTATGTTTGATTACGTTTATTAACCTTACTTATTAATCATGATTATAAAATGTTATCTTTATCTTTATCTTCAGGAGTTGGAAGATTTTTGTTTTAAATTTGCATTAAATCATATGACTGCAGTAATACAAACGACTAATTTTGCTAAATTAGACGAAACTACGGTGAAAACATTTATAATCAAAGCTGCTCAATCAGGAGCTTTTAAAACATAATTTTCTTTTTGTTTGTTTGTTTGTTTGTTTGTGCTATATAAAAGATCTTGTAATTAAATTAATATAAGTTATAGTATTATATTAACATATTGACATACATAAGGCAATGACTCTTCTTGCAAAATAATCTTCTTTAGACGAATGCAAGAAATCGTCGTCAGACCAAACGATTATTTTTCAATAAGTTATGATCAGTGTTTTTTTTTTTTTTAATTTTATTACATAAATATATGTATATATATTTTCTCATCTGTTGAAAGTAAACAATAGTTATGTCAAAAAAAAAAAAAAAAAATAATAATCAGACTATTAGAGAGATTGAAGATCGTCGTTAAAACGTAAAATTTGTTTTGGTTTTTTGAATTATGAAAATTCATTTGAAAGTTTGATCGTATCGTATCATACGTACCATAATTTCAATTCTATGTCAAAATTGATCGAACGTCAATTATTTTGATATTTATTATTATTATTATATAACAATGGATAAAATAACAATTTCATTTGTTACTCCAGATGTGTTTCATATATAGCAAAATCAAGGGAATCATATTTTAATTTTGATCCATTCCAATTGCAATGCATTTATTATAATTTAGATTAATACAAAAAGTACGATATTTTCAATAAATAACAAGTATAATAATATTATACAGAATGATGCAAACAAAATTATACATACACACACATCCCCCAATAAATTAATATGATTTATAATCAATTTGTTTATTGGCTAACACACACACATATTATAATTAATGTGAATTATCTTATTTTATATATCCTTTGTTTTTATATGTAATAGAAAAAAAAAACAAACAGAAATAAAAATATTTTTAATGAAACAGCGTTATATATTATATATATATATATTTGTTATAATAAATAAAATTTTCAAAGAAATGTTTAAACTAAGGACATTTTTTTTTTTTTTATTAAATTAGGTTACACACCATCCGAGAGAGGATTCATAAAATTTGATACATTTTTTCGTACAGTATTTTTATTACGATAATTCTCAATATATACAAGCAATCAATTGTCTTCATAGTAATACGTACATATCTACTAATTAATAATAATAATAAGAATAATAATAATAATAATAATCATAATAATTATAATGACAGTAATTATAATAATAACAACAACGATAATGATAATGATTATTATTATGATTATGGGTAATGATAATGATAATGATTATGACAATAAATAATAATAATTAGTTTTTCATAATAATAATAAATTAATAATGTATATATATATATGTATAATTAATATTAGTTAATCGTTTATTTTGTATTTTTATTTTATTTTATTTTATTTTATTTTATTTTATTTCTTGCCATTTGGAAACTCGCATATATATATTTATGTTAATTTTTTTTATTTTGTTTGTTTTGTTTTGTTTAGTTCTTTCGCTCCAGTCACTAATTTGCGAATTCATTTTAATCGCACATAATTGTTTATTTATATTCTTCTACACACACATACACACCCTTAGATAAAATTGTCAAGCGTTTTGACGATAGTAGTTAATTAATATATATATATAATATTATTCTTAGTTTTTTCTTTTTTTTTTTTGCATCAACCTTTAATTGGCGACGTATAATAATAATAATAATAATAATAATAACAATAACAATAGTAATAAAATAAATCAAGATAATAATGGAGAATAATTGTTTATTCATAGCGACGATAGATTAATTAAATAGAAATAATCAAAGAAAAAATTGAAAACTTGTTACAAGGTGTATGAACGATGTTTTTTTTTTTTTTAAAAGCATGAATTTGTTTTTGTTATTTTTTTTTTAATTTTTTATTTTTTATTTTGTTCTTACGTCCATTCCTTGTATAATTTTTTTTTTTTTTTTTTTTTTTGATATCGCTACATTGATTATTTACATTGAAATCTTTTTATCTCGAGTATAGCAATCGAAAGCAGAACTGGCTTTAATTTGTTCGTCCGCTTATTTATTTATTTATTTATTTATTATTTTATTATTTTCTTCATATGTATATATGTGATAAACGAGTCGATCGTTCTCCCATGTTATTATTTTTTTTTTTATTTTATTTTTTTTTTTGCTATAGGCACGAACGATTTTCGGAACGATCGATTCGACGATTTAAATGACAATTCTTTTCCCGATGTTTTTTATTTATCGGTAAATATGATAATTTACGATGCTTAATTCGACTACATACAATTCTCTTATTTCTCACTAAGTATACGCGGGAATAATAATAATAATAATAATAATAATAATCATAATAATAATAAATAATTAGTAGTAATAATGATAGATGATGATAATAATAATAATCAATTTCAATATTAATTATTCTCGAATAATATATATATATAATTATTATACATATATTATATATAATATGTATATAATTATATTTATAATATATATAATTTATAATATAATTTATAAATTATATTATAATTAAAAAAAAAAATATAATTAAAATATATATAATTAATTTCAATTACAATATTAATTATATAATTATAATTATATTTTTTTTTTTCATTATAAATTATTACAATATTAAATAATTATATAATATAATAATAATATAATAATTATATATATATATATATATATATTATTAGAGATTTAAAAGATAATTCTCATGCATATCATTTTGATTCTCACACATCATATATTATTCTCACTCTCTCTCTCTCTTTCTTTCATCTCATATTATATGTGTGTCCTTATTATTTGATATATTTTTTTTTCTTCTTCTTCTTCTTCTTGTTATTATTTCTCTTACTATAATAAATATCATTTATATTATTTAAATTTGTGTTGTTGTTTTTTTTATTTTTATTTTCATTTTCCCGTCGTCTACATTGAGGATAAAGAGATTGATGTAGTACTAACTTAGCAGTTGGGTAGATCGATCATACCGAGAATCGTCATCCAATACGACATTGAACGAGAAAACACGTTCTTCTTTACCACCCCCCTCCCCACTATTCCCACCCTCGCGCCCCCTCGCCGCCCCTCTTCATTTATATCCCAACCACGTTATACGCGGATGCCGTATTGAGAAGTCGACCAGCTAGAATTCAGCTAGGATAATTAATTAGTTCATTAATTAGAGCGTATTTAGGCCTGTGGGCTACTTTTCCAGCAACTCGCTGTGAATCCCATTGACAGAAGTAATTAAATCTCTCTCTCTCTCTCTCTCTCTCTGTCTCTTTCTCTTTCTCTCTTTCTTTTTCATTTTCTCTTTTATTTTCATCATTACATTCCTAGAGAAAGAGAGAGAGAGAGAGAGAGGGAGAGATAGAAAGAATGTCTGAGAGACAGAGAGAGAGAGAGAGAGAGAGAGAGAGAGAGAGAGAGAAGAAAAGCGAAGGAACAAAAGGAAGAAAATGAACAACGGAAAGGGAACGATTTTTTTTCCATCTCGCGAGATGGAAAAAAAAATACCCGTTCACGCTTTTCTACCACCCCTTTTCGTATATACCCACCACCACCACCCACTACCAGTACCAGTAGCAGTACCAGTACCAGTACCACCATTTTATCCGATCCTTTCCACCCACTTTCATCCACCCATTTTCTCTTCCTCTTGTTCCTTCTCTTCAAAACAGCCTGCTTCTTCCAATGTACCTGCGAAACTATCCAATGGGAAACGATAATCGATCGTTTGCTAATGCATACGCACATTTCTGAATGATTATACAATTTTTCTTTGATCGTGTGTGTGTCTTTCTTATCATCTTTTTATTTTTTCTTACGACAAAATTGATGAGATATTTTTTATCAATTCGATGGACCATTGACTCTCCATTGATTTAAATATTTGCAAATAAATTTTGGGGTTTTTTTTGGGGGGGAATTGAATTCGATGGACCTTCGATTGATTTAAATATTTGCGAAAAAATTTTATGTGTTTTTTTTTTTTGGTCTGGAATTTGGTGAACTATTGACTCTCCATTTATTTAAATATTTGCAAATAAATTTTTGGGGTTTTTTTTTNGGGGGGGGGGGGTGTTTGAAGAACTCGATGGACCTTTCATTGATTTACAATATTTGCAAACAAATTTTTGTATTTCTTTTTTTTTGGTTGAGTTCGATGGATCTTTCATTGATTTAAAATATTTGTCAAAAAATTTATGGTTTTTTTTTTTTGGAGGGAGGGAGAGGGGAATTCGATGGACCACATTTACCCCATTGATTGAAATATTTGAAAACAAATGTTTGTAAATTTGTAACGTAAGATTTCTTTGAGTAAAATTGACACAATCGAGTTATCGTTTCCGTATCGCAATTTCTTCGTCGTCCATTTATATATCGTCCTTGCTAAAGGGTAACGAGTTTTTTCACGAGCACGCAATTATTTTACATTACATTATTACATGTATAGAACCACAGTTAATAGTTTACGTGAGATTATATTACTTCCTTCGCATTGGCGAGTTCATTTCTGACATATTTGTTTCTTTTTTTTTTTAATCTTTCGTGTATGCATGATATGTATATATATGTGTGTGTCTGTGTATACATATGTAATGTTATGTATATATGTATGAGTGTATAATTATTTTTTTTTTCGTCGTCGACATGACGATCATTTCTCTTGAGACGAATCGGCGCCTTGTGGTTTTACTTTTTCCATCATCACCCTTACAATATATATATATATATATATGTGTGTGTGTGTGTGTGTGTGTGTATAATATCGTTTAGAGTCTTTTGTAGAGACTTTCGACGCGACGAGAAGAAGAGGTTGTTGTTACTTTTTTTTTTCTTTAACGACATTCTACCTGTGTCCCAAGGGAAAAAGATATTTCATTCTTTTCTTTTTACATTTTCCTTTCCTTTCCTTTCCTTTCCTTTCCTTTCTCATTCTTTTTATTTTTTTTTTTTTTATTTTTTTATTTTATTATTTCTCTTTGCCGTTCCTTCTCACATTTATTTCTTACGTGTTCTCCATTTTTTTTTTTTATGTATATATATATATAATTACATGATCCATTTGAAAGATTGATAACATGTACAAAAAAAAAGTGTGGCTAAGTTCTCATTGTCAATCGAATTAACCCTTTAAACAGAAAGTATTTTGAAAAAAAAAAACGGCCAAAAAAAATCATTACATAATTTAGAACATTGTATAGATAGAAAAAATTAAAAAAAAAAAAAAAATACAGAAATAATGAATATTTGGATTTTGTTTGCAGATTTGCAGAGAAAAGTCGAATATTGCAATGTTACACGTTCGTCGTCAACTTTTTAATCTTTCTTTTTCGAATTATTC